GCTCCGGACGCCTGTGGTACAGCAGCTGGGGCGCTGCCGGTTGGTCCCGTAGCGCCGCTCTGGGTGCCACTGGACCAACCCAGCAGCACCCCAGCTGCTCTGCCCCAGGTGTCCCCCAGTCAGCAGCTGCTGAAAATGACCAGTGGCTGACTACAGGAAGCCCCTGCCCCGGGCTTCCTGGAATCAGCCGCTGATCAGTTTCAGCAGCAGCTGACTTGGGGATGCCTGGGGTTCTTAAGTTGAATCTGTATGTAAGTCAGAACTGGCGTCCAGATTCAGCCACTGTTGAAACTGATCAGTTTCAGCAGCAGCTGAATCTGGACGCCAGTTCCGACTTACATACAGATTCAACTTAAGAACAAACCTACAGTCCCTATCTTGTACGTAACCCGGGGACTGCCTGTACTCCATCCACATATTCACTAGATATTTCCAGGTCTTCACAGCTGATGCATGCTTTGGGAGAGTGGTTCTACCAGCAGTTACACCACCTGCATCATTGCATCCTCCTCCACTCTGAATATTGCTTGTTAGTCACTCATAGTGGAACACACATAGCAACTGGCACAAAAAGAAGTTGCTTACCTTGTTAACTGGAATTCATTGAGATGTGTGGTCCCTATGTGTCTTCCACTACCAGCTCTCTTTACCCTCTGCTTCAGTTATGACTATACATGCAATGGAGAAGGACAAGGGAGGCAGTCAATCTACCCTGCCTCTTATACCCTCAATGTGGAGCATGCGGAGAGCAAGGGCACAGACATGGATTAATTAATGCTAACTGAAAGAATTTGCCAGTCTCAGGCGCATTTGGGTGCATGCATAACCACATTAGTATACAGATAGGGATCACACATCTCAAAGAACTCAAGTTACAGCAAGGTAAATAACTGTCCTTCATCATGACACACTGAAGTTGTTACATTATCCTGAATCAAAGGAAGACAATAATATCTCTTTACATAGCTAGTAACTCTGCATAGTTCTGTGTAACAGATAATCAATTGTATCTTTCTGTGACAGCCAACATGGTAGTTCTTTTGTGAAGGTTTTTTTTATTTATTTGGGAGGGAAAAGACTATACAGATAACGGAAGACTGAGAGGCATGTAATTAAATCCTTTTTGTGGTTAGAGAAATAAAATTGATTTTTCCCCCAGCCTATTCTACAGCCATGTAAGATAAATGGGTGTACATTATCGGACTTGTGCACCTAAATTAGGAACCCAAACTAGCTTCTGAATGCCCACATTGGCTTTTAAGTACTCTGATACCCTAAATGCCACATTGGATAGACATGAAACTGTGAAAATTGGACACGGGATTTAATCCTGCTGCTACTGAAAACCAGTGGCAAAAGTCCCATTGCTTTCCGTTGTGCAGAATTGGGGCACGGTGTCTTGGCACCTACTTAATGAATTGATCTGTACCAAGAGTTATGTCAGGGCCTGACATGAATGACCTGATGGTTGGAGTTCAAATTTAGATTGCTTCATCAATAGGCACGCAGATAAATTTGTCCTATAGCATAAAAACAATAGGAGAACATGTTAACATACTGCATCATCGTAAAAGAATTTTGCATACAATTTTGGGGACATTATAGTAGATAGCAGAACATGTTTTCCTCCTTCCCACCTCCAATTAATATTGGAATATTCTTTAAAATCTAGATGGACAGCAACACTGCAAGTCATTTGGTCTCAATTTGTTGATAAAGTTAGTGGCTCTGATTTAACTTAAATTTTCTGAAAACTGGAGGCTGGTTTTAAGGAAGCCAGACTTTTGACAATCAAATGACTTTTTGTTACTGCGATGTCATTCCCAATTCTCACCATACCCCTTCTTCTATTCCAAGATGTCACTCGGCCATAAACAACTGCTTCATGCTGATGCTGATATTATGATATATAATAGCTTCTCTGGAGGACATTACTTAAGCAAACTGAACTTTAAAATGTTGGACAGCAATGTACCATAAATAAAGCATGTCATATATGACAGTAATTCCCCTATTACATAAATCATATGTTAAAGAGACTCTTCCTGCCTATAAAGAGTTGGAAAAGAATGTAATCAGCTCCATTAAATATTCTGAAAACTCAGTTAGCTTAAAAGATTCTTTCCAAACGTTAATAAAGTTGAATTCTGAGCGCTTATTGTGGCTTCAATAAACATTAGATTTGTGCTTAAACATATTAATTCTTGAAGTTGCTCTATTTTAATCATATCAGTGCTTTGAAGTCAGAAGATAACAGTGCTGACGGGGAATATGGTCTGGTGATGAAAACAGATGGCAGGGAGTCAAATCAAGGTTCTTTTCCCAGTTCTGGCATCAAGTGCACTGTGTGATCTTTGCTAGCTCACAGAGGAGCTGACCCAAAGCCCACTGAAATCAGTGGCAGTCTTTCTATTAATAGAAGTGGGGTCTAAGTCAAACCCAAACACTTTGGTCCTCGGTTTACTCATTTATCAAATTAATTACCACTTCATGGAAAACAGCAATAAGCTATTTGGATGGCAGTTGTATAGAGGTGCAAAGTGCTACTATTACTGGTTACAAGTGTAGTCTTCCAAATTTGCTCCCTCTCTCCCCAATGCAAGTCTGTTTCTATTGCATGTCTTGTATGGCACCAAGCATATGCATTGTTACCAAATAATAAATACTAATAACAAAGTGGCT